AAAAGGGGAAAGGGAGGAAGGGTTTGGAGGGGGGGGGGGGGGGGGGAGAGAGAGGAGGCGCCCCGGGTGGGGTTCCTTGCGCCCCTAAATCTGGAGCGTGCCTTGAAGCTCAGAGAGATGTTGGGGGGGGGAATGATGATGAAACCTTGGTGGTGCCTTATTTGGAGGTCAACCCAGCTCCTGGCTCTTTTAAACAACAACTTTGACTGTGTCTGGTATTTTTGAAATATAATAATAATAACTATTAATTCATTCATAATTCTGTTTTTGGTTAAAACGTGTGCCTGTTATGTAATACCAATCAACGTTTTTTAAAATTTTAATGTACTGTGCCTGGTATTTTTGAATAATATTAATAATTATAATCTTGGTGGTGCCTTATTTGGAGGTCAACCTTCCACCAGAGCTCCTGGCTCTTTTAAATAACAACAACTTTGATTGACTGTGTCTGGTATTTCTGAAATATAATACATTAATAATAACAATTTATTAATTCGTTAATACTTAGGTTTTTGGTTAAAAACGTGTGCCTGTTATGTAATACCAGTCAACGTTTTTCTGATTTTGATTGACTGTGCCTGGTAGTTTTGAATAATATTCATAATAATAACAATAATAATGTCATCAATTCAATTCTGACTTAGGACGACCCTTTCCAGGGTTTTCTAAGTAAAGCACAATCAAACCTGGTTTACCCTTCCCTTCTTCTGGGCCCATCCTGAGAATATGCAGCTGGCCCAAGGCCACCCGGGCTGGCTCTACTTATAGGAGGCATGGTGGGGGAATCGAACCGCCTACCTCTGTCTCTGGAGTCAGAGACCTAAACCACTCAGTTATCTAGCTAGCATAGATCGGTATTACTCTCCCCTCCATTTCAGATTTATTTCAGTTTTTAGTTTTAAATGCAGCACAACACCCTTGTCTAGAGGAGTCACACAAAGAAGGAAGACGAATAACATATATTCGGGAGGGGCTGAAGGAGAAAGACAGTTTCCGCTTTTTCTCCCCCCCTCCCCCCCCCCCCCCACAACCCAGGATTTGAATGTCTTCTGGAAGAAGTTACGGATTCTTGGAGAAAGTTTTCCCGGCAGGCGGGCAGGTGCCCTTTAGGGAGGAGGAGGAGGAGGAAGAAGCACAGCGATGGAGAGGGAGGACCGGTGGTTGCTTCTCTGCTCTCGCCACTGATGGAAAAGAGAGGAAGGCAGGAACGAAAAGAAAAGCTGCTGCCGGGCAGGGAGGAAGCCAGAGTGGAGCCGTTTCCCCTTCTTTTTGGCTTCTCGGCTGGAGTGCTGCAAAATCCAGGCTCGTGCGGGAGGGCCTCTTTTCCCAGCGAGGGAAGCAAAAAGGAGAAGACTTTGGAGGAGGAGAAGCCAAAGGCCGGCCAGGGAGCCACAGCAGCGGCTGCGGGAGGGATGTGCGGCTGGCCGTTGGGCGTCTTCCCGCCAGGGACCTCTTTGTTTTGGGGTGTAGATTTCAGGGCCAGGCCTGCCTGCGGTCTGGAAGAAGAGGAGGGCAGGCGGCATTTCCAGGCCCTCTTCGGCCGAGAGCAACTGGCCAGCAGACCCTCCTGGGGCCTGAGGGGAGCTGCCCCGGACGGATGTCCCCACTTCCTGCTGCGCTGCTGAAAAGGGGGCCTTGGGCTTCTTGACCCTCCTCCTCGGAGCCTCTCCTTGCGTTTGCTGGGTTCCCCTCTTTCTCCCAGAGGGCCCCCCCGCCCCGACTGCCTCTCCACTTGCCCTCTGGTCTGCTCCTCCTCCTCCTCCCATCATTCCTCTTTCCACTTGGTGCCTGGTCTCTTCCCAGCCTTGCCTTGCCGGCCGAGAGCAACTGGCCAGCAGACCCTCCCGGGGCCTGAGGGGAGCTGCCCCGGAGGGATGTCCCCACTTCCTGCTGCTCTGCTGAAAAGGGGGCCTTGGGCTCCCCAGGCTTCTTGACCCTCCTCCTCGGAGCCTCTCCTTGCGTTTGCTGGGTTCCCCTCTTTCTCCCAGAGGGCCCCCCCGCCCCGACTGCCTCTCCACTTGCCCTCTGGTCTGCTCCTCCTCCTCCTCCCATCATTCCTCTTTCCACTTGGTGCCTGGTCTCTTCCCAGCCTTGCCTTGCCTTGCCTTCCTGCTTTGCCTCTTCCTCCCTGCCTCTGCTGTCAACCAGCCCCTCTCCTCCCCTCAACATCATCCTCTCCTCCTCCTCCTCCTCCATCGTTGGCTTGGGCTTCCTTCCCTTCGGCCTTCCTCCCCAACTCTTTCCCTCCTCTTGCTCGGCTCCTTCTTTTTAAATCCCTCCCTCTCTCTTCCCCGTCTCCTTTTGCCTTCCTGCTTTGCCTCTTCCTCCCTGCCTCTGCTGTCAACCAGCCCCTCTCCTCCCCTCAACATCATCCTCTCCTCCTCCTCCTCCTCCATCGTTGGCTTGGGCTTCCTTCCCTTCGGCCTTCCTCCCCAACTCTTTCCCTCCTCTTGCTCGGCTCCTTCTTTTTAAATCCCTCCCTCTCTCTTCCCCGTCTCCTTCCCCACCAGTCACTTCTGCTCTCTTAAATTCCCCTCCCTTCTCCTCTCTCCCCCACCCCCTGTTCCTCCTCCTCCTCCTCCTCCTCCTCTGTCCATTCAACTCCTCTCCTCTCCTCCAGGCTCTGCTCTTCTCTTCTCTCCTTCCCTTCTTCTCCCTTCTTCCCTCCAGATCTTCCGCCAGCCTCTCCTGCCACAAAGGGCTCCCTTCCCACCCCCTCCCCACTTCTCTAGCATGGCTCTGGTGGTGGCCCCCTGGCAGGAGGAGCTTCCTGGGGGTCCCCCGGGGGTCCACCCTCCTCCTCCTCCTCCTCCTCCCCTGCCTCCCCTGCCAGCCTCCCAGGAGCCCGGGGTCGGCGGCGGTGGGGGAAGCAACAGCGAAGCCAAGGCGGCCTCGGCGGCCGTGGACTGCCTGGTCTGTGGGGACAAGGCCAGCGGCAAGCACTACGGGCAGTTCACCTGCGAGGGCTGCAAGAGCTTCTTCAAGCGCTCCGTGCGCCGCAACCTCAGCTACACCTGCCGCGCCAGCCGCCAGTGCCCCGTCGACCAGCACCACCGCAACCAGTGCCAGCACTGCCGCCTCACCAAGTGCCTCAAGGTTGGCATGCGCCGCGAAGGTGGGTCCCGGGCGGGGAGCCTCCTGGCGGAGCCGCCTCTTGCCCCTGGCCTGCCCCCCTCTGCCCTCCTCGGAGGAGCGCGTCCGAGACAGCCCGGCGGGGTCCCCTCGGAGGCGCCTCTGGGGGCTCCAGCCAAAGGGCTCCCCTCGGAGGCGCCGTTTCGAGAGGGACTCGGAGTGCCTTGCAGGAGGCACTCCCGCTCGGAGACTCCGAAGCCCCTCGCTGGACTACGCATCCCAGGGTGCTCGGGGATGGTTGATGGAGCCATGACAGGGGCAGCAGTGGGGGCGTGGAGGTGCCCCTGTGAGCTGCTCCTTGTGTCCCCCCCCGTCTCTCTCTGGCTCTTTTGAGGGGCTTCGTTTTTGCCTCATGCCTTCATGCCTTCTTTCTCTTCTCCATTTTCCCCACTTCCTTTTTTGTTCTCTAACGCTTTTTCGTTCTTCGCTTGCTTTCTTTTCTCCAGGAGTTCCCTTCCTCTTCTTCTTTACTGAGTGGTCTTCGTCAAGAAACGTCTCCTCTCCTTTCCCTCTCCTGTTGTTTCCTTTCTCTCCCTCCCTCGTTATTTTTCCTGCCTGCCTTCCTTCTTGCCCGCCTGCCGGCCGGCCGGCCTGGTCTCTCATCCTGCGCCCTCCCTTCTGTTCTGATTCTGACAACACGCTTCCCTTCCACCTTTTTTCGCTTTGCCTTCTTTCTGGTCTGGGCAGAGGAGAGAGTCCCCCTCAGCCAGGTCGTCTAGGGTCAGCCCCCTCCTTGCCTGGCCCCTGTCAGAAGAAGAACCCCCCCCCAGCCCTGCCCCCTCCAGGCCTCCTTCTTTTCAATCTTGCCTTCACCCAAGGGTGCTCTTCTTGACCCTTCTCGGCCACCCCCCCCACCTTCTCCCCGACCCGCCTCCTTTCTCTCTTTTCCCTCCTCTCCAGCCTTCTCTTCCGCATCCCTTTGCTTCTCGCTCTACTTTTGAGTCTCTCTCTCTCTCTCTCTCTCTCTGTGAAATCTTCCTACCAAAGTTCCTTTGGATGGAGGGCCACTTGGCCCCCTTTTCTGCCGGGCTTTTAAGATCGGCACCGCTTGTTCTTTACTGCAGACAGTTTTACACTTGCTGTGACACAAACCTCAGGGCCCTTGTCCTCTCCTCCTTCTTCTTTGTCTTTGCAGTACAAGATCATTGTTTTTAATATGCCATATTTAAAGATAAATAAGCAATGAATAAGAAGAAGGATCCCTTCCTTCTCCCATCCCTGTCTTTGGCAATCCTTTCATATCTTTATTTCCCCACCATCACCTTTTCTTTTCTTTTTGCTTTTTGGAAACTTGTCTCCCCACCCCCCCCACCACTCCGCTCCTTTCCCTTGGCTCCTGTTCCTTTCCTCTTCCTTCCACCCGCTTTTTCTTGTCTCCTTGCAGGGCTTGGATTTTCCCTTTGTCTCGTCTGTCTGTCAGATTTCTTTTCTCTTTCCCCTACATCTCTCCTCTTGGCTTTTTCTTCTCTAAAAGCTCCTATTGGCTCTTTCCTCATCCCTTCTTTGACTCTCTTTGCTTCCCCCACCCATCAGGATCCCTGTGTTGCTTTTTCTGCATTCAGTCTAATTCCACCCATATTTGTGTCCCTGGGGAAAACTATTTTCCTTTTCTGTTGCAAAACCTACCTACCTGTGTTCATTCTCTCCCCTTCCTTCTTTCCTTCCTTCCGCCTGCCCACCCTGCTGTCTCTCTCCCACATCTTCCCCCCCCCCACTTCTCCTCTGTTTGTTCTTGCTTGGACAGAGACCCGCACAAGCCACCTGTTTCTGGGCAGTGCCCAGTGCCGGAGGGCAGGTGGTGTCGAGGGGAGGGAGGGACGGAGGGAGAATTTGCAGTCTTCTCCTCCCGAGTAGTTCTGCCACTGCCGGACAGAGAGTGCAAGAACACGGTGGGCTTTGGGTTCAGTTCACTCAAACTTGTGTCAGGGCTGCATTTAAGCACAGACTAAATCTAGTGCCCAGGTTTACTTTTGCCCATCGGTAAGCTGCAACATGACAGCTTTATTTTCAAGAGAGACCATTTCTTAAAGAAGTTTTTTTGTCTTTTAAAAGCGTGTCATCTGAGGGCTGGCAGTGTTGTCGGACTCTTAAACATGGGCCGGCTTTGGGCCTCATTTCTGCTTTAATGGGGACCGGACCTTGTGCCTGTCACCAGAGTCGGGCCACCCTAGAGGGTTATACCTGTTCGATTCCACTTGGACGGTTCCAGCTCCCTTCTGGGGAATCCTGGGATATGTAGGCTGGTGAGGAGCCTGGGGCTTTCTCCCGCCATTTAGGAGAACAGACCAGGGCTGTCTAGGAATGGGCTCTGATGTCCCTCGCCAGTCTGTAACCTCTAGATCCCTCAGGATGGGGCCGCGGCGGCAGTTGGGCGGGGACCACCGGGCGGCAACTGTGCTGTGTAGCTCTGATACCAAAAGAAAATCAATTCCAGAGTAGAGTGTAGGGAGGACCCACCCAAGAACGAGACTGGAATGAATTTATTGCCCGAATTCATGGGATCCTTGATGTGGATAAATTTCCACCACGCTGCCATAGCTCCCTGCACATGGGAGGACTGGCTCTTAAATACATCCATGTCTCTCTGTGTTGATCTGCAAGGGGCAGGGAATCCTCTTGTCTCCCTCTGGAAGTTCCCGAGCAGGAGCCTGGAGAAGAGCCGGCAGGATGATTGATCGATCGATCGATCGGGTTGATGATATGGCCAGAATACAGACGGGTTGTTAGCCTGCCTGCCTGCTCAGGTTTAAGTCAGGGGTTCAGGCCCAGAGAAAAGGTGCCCCTCTGGCGCAGGGCTCCATGTGCTTGGTCTCCGGGAAGACGGCGTGTTCATTTCACCTTTTCCTTCTAATTATTTTGTGGTCCTTGAAAGAGGACAGGTGGGGACGAGGGGTGTCCAGATGTCCCAGTAAAACCAATGAGTAAAAATGGAGAAGTAACGTGTTTACCTCCAACGCATTAAGTTGTTTGTAATGAAAGTCTAATGAAGTTACAGTTGAAAAGCACAGAATGAGCAGGGACAACAATGTTACACTTTCGGTGTTTTTTAGTTACCATGAGAGGGCTTTTAAAGAAGCATTTGACAGGTTTGATGTTCTCATCAAACCTAATATTTTATTTATAAAGGAGTGATGAAAAATAACTTTTAAACGGTAGCAAAGAATGCAATGCAAGAAAAGTAACAATGCTGCAATGTCATTTTATTTAAAAAAAATCCCAAACCCTGTAATGCACCATGACAATGAAGGACTTTTTCAGTCCCTGCTTGGAGTAAAGGCAACACACTTTCCGATGTGGTTGGGATTTACTGTATTGCTTTATTTGAAAGAAAAGCTGTTACTGTACATCTTAGCAAGTTTTTGTTTATTTTTTTTCCTTTTCTCAAGTCCTGTGCCTGCCCCAAAAAGCTGCTCTCTCGCTTTCTCTTAGAAAAAAAAGGAGAAAAAAAGAGAAAAACAACCCACAACGACTTTTGCTACTTGTTTTGGAAATACTGGTGGTTATGAACCCTTGCCTGAAGGATGTGTGCTCTCTCTCTCTCTCTCTCTGTCTCTCTCTCTCTAGCCGTGCAACGGGGTCGCATGGCCCACCCTCACTCCAGTCCGGGCCAGTTCCCCTTGTCCAATGGTGACCCATACAACTGCCATGCCTACTTGACGGGCTTCATCTCCCTCCTGCTGCGGGCAGAGCCCTACCCGACATCCCGCTACGGCGCCCAGTGCCTCCAGCCCAACAACATCATGGGCATAGAGAATATCTGTGAGCTAGCCGCCCGCCTCCTCTTCAGTGCCATCGAGTGGGCCAAGAACATCCCTTTCTTCCCCGACTTCCAACTGGCCGACCAGGTGTGCCTCCTGCGCATGACCTGGAGCGAGCTGTTCGTACTCAACGCGGCTCAGTGCTCCATGCCGCTCCACGTGGCGCCGCTCCTGGCCGCTGCCGGCCTCCACGCCTCGCCGATGTCTGCCGACAGGGTGGTGGCGTTCATGGACCACATCCGCGTCTTCCAGGAGCAGGTGGAGAAGCTGAAAGCCCTCCACGTGGACTCGGCCGAGTATTCCTGCCTCAAAGCCATCGCACTCTTTACGCCAGGTGAGTCTCTTCAGCTTGCGTGCTCTGGGGGTGTACGCAGGACTCTTTTGGCAGGGAGAGAAGGGGCCTAAATCCTCGGTTTGTTCATCCTTGAGTGAGTGTGAGGACAAGACACTCCAGACAGTCTTCTTTCTGGGGAGGAATTTCCTGTACCAATGATAGAGTAATTGCATGCACAGTTATTCTTGGTCTCTCCCCCGGCCCCCCAACTGCAGGCATTTATATAAAGCTGTTCAATGGGTGCCGTTGTGCAAAGTGCCCAACACTTGGGTGACGGCCATGTTGTTTCACAAATTGGAAGCACTAGAGGGTTTGATTGCATCTTTCTTAACAATCAGCCAGATATTCTGTGCTGGCTGCCTGCGCTTATGCTGTCCTTCTCCAAGGGACAGGATGCGAGAGACATTTTGTTCAAATTACTGGGTGGGAAAGAGCTCTTTTTCAGCTACAGGGGAAATAGTTTTCTAGGGCATCTAAAAATTCCTGTAGGGGTTTCTTGTGGGGTGGGGGTCCAAAGAGCCTAAACGGAGGAAAGTGAGACATTTAACCTGTGTTCTTTCCATCTGTAAAGAGGAATGGTTGGTCAAGAAGGAGAGGAGGGAACCACAGGGCTTTATCAGCATGCAGAAAGAACAGGCAGGCGGCATGGGTGGGTGGGTGCAAAACTGGGGGGGGGCAACTGGCCCAGAAGAGCCCCCTAAACTTTATGGATGGGAAGGGAAATGAACCCTTGTCCTCCTGGTCCCATCTCGAGGACGGCATGAGACAAGCAGTGCTGCCTCTGCTTGAAAATGGCCTTAGGAGAGCTGATTGGCTACCTGGTGCTATTGTGTTTTCCCACTTGCTAGGTGATCCCTGACTGCCTAGCATCTCTTCCCCAGACACTCACTTCCGAGGGGAGAAAAGCCACTGGATGGAAGTTGAAAGGGGAAACAGAGATTATCTAAAGGAGTGAACAAAGAAGGGGGTGGAAGTGGTCATCACAGAAAGATTTATTTAGCATAAGTAGGTAGGAAAGGTTAATACTGAAACCTTTGGGGCAGCCTTAATCTGTTCTGCCTTGCTGTGCATTAAGCCTTTAAAGGAGCCTTTTCTTGAATGAACAAGGAGGGGCTTGAGATTCCTGGATGGGTGGATTAATTAACGCCAGTTACTGGTGGGGTTTCCACACCAGCACCTGCCAGACCCGGCCTTTTTAAAGGGAAGTCAAGGCAAGAGGAGGAAAGGGCGAGAGGTCAGGGTGAGTGGGTGCTCAAGCCCCTGCCTCCATCCCCCAATACTTAGGGGCCTGAACAGCCACCAGAGAGAAGGCAGTAAGATTATTTCCAGGACACAAGAAGAACCTTTTGCATCCGGGAAGCTTCCAAGCCCAACTGAAAAGGGGGGGGGGGCTTGTTGACATGTCACTTTAATCCCAGCCTTTAAATAAAAGGAAAATGCTCCCTTTTAATAAAACGTGTGCTTCCTCTGACAAAGTGAAATGATGTGATGAGAAACAAATCTAAGCATTTGAAAGTTTAGGAAAAAGATATTTTTTACATTAATTACAGTATAGTTCAAAGATAAGGAAAGATAAAGGCCCCATGTGCACTTCCACGTCACCGTGCATGATCCTGAATGGGTCCCCCTGTTCAAGAATCACCCGTTTTGCATCATTACCCATAAACGGTGTATGCAATGTTAACACAACTTGGTCTCCTCTTGTGCGTGTTTTCCTGGGCGATGGGTGCCCTCTTTGGGGAGGTGAGTGATCTATGAGTTCCCCCCCCCCACCAGAGAGCCACACGGGCCAGGAGAAAGGCGAAGGGGCTTCCCAGGGGAGGTGCGTCATCTGCTCCGGTGGGCCAAGGTAGCTTCTCTTCGTCGTCGATCGGTTTGCAAACTCTCCCGGGCCTCCCACCTGATGGGCTGATCAGGGGACTCCCATGGCCCGTAAAGTCCGGGTTGTGTCCCTTAGCTGAAGGACACTCCTTTCCGTGACCTGTTCGCCTGCCTGTTGGCGTGACGAAGGGTCCTTTCCTCTGGGGCCTCTTGCTGTTAATGGCTCGGCCCTCTGGAAGTGCAGCGGAGAACCACTCCGGATGTTTTGAGAGAAGAAAAACTAGGAGCAGAATCAGGGCCTGCAGCTCTGCCCCCCATCCCCATCCCTGCCTGGGCCTGCCCTCTTCCAAAAGGCAGTTCAGTTTCTCTTCAGCAGGGGAGGGAGGCGCTGCGGCAGTCAGGCCCATGGCCCTCGTCGGAGGCCGGGAAGGGAAGGGACGGGGCAGCCCCTGGCTGGCGGGTAGTCTCACCCCTCCGTGCCAGGCCCCACATTGTTTGGGTGTCGGTTGTGCCACCAGAGTCCCAGGGCCAGACCCCCCACCCCACCCCTGGACCCCAGATTTATTTAGCATAAGTAGGTAGGAAAGGTTAATACTGAAACCTTTGGGGCAGCCTTAATCTGTTCTGCCTTGCTGTGCATTAAGCCTTTAAAGGAGCCTTTTCTTGAATGAACAAGGAGGGGCTTGAGATTCCTGGATGGGTGGATTAATTAACGCCAGTTACTGGTGGGGTTTCCACACCAGCACCTGCCAGACCCGGCCTTTTTAAAGGGAAGTCAAGGCAAGAGGAGGAAAGGGCGAGAGGTCAGGGTGAGTGGGTGCTCAAGCCCCTGCCTCCATCCCCCA